ACTAAAGAAAAAAAAAGCGAAAATAGTACAATACAACAATAAAACTCTACTTAGGTGCAGGAAATAATTATATTGTACGAAATTTTAGAAAATCAAACAATGACCACACGCAGTACGATAGTCACAGGTGAACAAAGGTGTGACGTAGATAAACCTCTTCATAATCATCAATTCTCTCAATTGTTTACTTACCTACAGTTAATGATACGTTCACCTGTCTATCCTCTTGAGATTTATAGCTTAATTATGTGTCTGGGTCCAGGTAATGACAGTTTCCTTTTTGTTCTCTATTATGAAGTATGGCAAGATGTACTGTGTGTATGGCGAGGGAGGGGGGGGGGTAATTGTTGCCTCCCGTACGTGGGTGGTCATCATGATACCGCTGGTACCTCGGGGAGACTGTCGGTGTTCGTGTGACTGTGGAGTATAAGTTTCTAATCACTTCTTATTAACTACCTGTATTAACTACTTCGTGATCGTTAATTATTTCGTGTCCATAAAATCCTAAATTATCACCCGTTTTTTCCCCGTTTTATGGTGTTTTTATGATTTTTTGTTACGTCATTATTTGTCTTTTTTTTTTAACTTCTTCGACTCACTAACGAAGAAGTAATTAAGAAACAGAAGAAGAAAAATTATAATAATTGGGAAAAAGGTTAAAGACTAAAGAAAATTATATTTTTATTATTATTTTTTCGTTTACTTGTCATTCTTAATGTTATGTAGTCATTTGTTGATAAAGATGGGCTCAGGCAGTCGTGGGTCGGGCACTCCTAGGGTCGGGCACTCATGAGATCGGGCAGTCGGGCACTCCTGTCGGGCACTCCGGGCACTCCTGGGGGCACTCACTCCTGGGGTTGGAGATCGGGCACTCCTGGGGTCGGGCACTCCTGGGGTCGATCACTCCTGGGTTGGGTTGAGGTCAGGCACTTAGGGTCAGGGGGGGCACTTTAGGGTCATGGGCACTTTGGTCAGGCACTCCGGGCACTCATTCAGGCACTCCTGGGGTCAGGCACTTTAGGGTCAGGCACTCCTGAGGTCTATCACTCCTGGGGTCAGGCACTCCTGGGGTCAGGCACTCAGGGGTCTATACTCCTGGGGTCAGGCACTCCTGGGGTCGGGCACTTTAGGGTCAGGCACTCCTGGGGTCTACTGGGGTCAGGCACTCCTGGGGTCAGGCACTAGGGTCAGGGCTCCTGACTCCTTAGGGTCGGGTCAGGCACTCCTGAGGTCTATCACTCCTGGGGTCAGGCACTCCTGGGGTTGGGCACTCCTGGGGTCAGGCACTTTAGGGTAGGGTCAGGCACTCCTGGGGTCAGGCACTCCTGGGGTCAGGCACTGGGTCAGGCACTCCTGGTCCTCCTCCTGGGGTCAGGCACACTCCTGGGGTCGGGCACTTTAGGGTCGGGCACTCCTGAGGTCTATCACTCCTGGGGTCGGGCACAGCACACATTCTCTCCACAATGTCACTTCTCATGTTTTTTTGGACAAGAGTGAAAGCTCAAGAATAAAACGTTACCGTCGCTACCTTCTTGTTATTTCACTTAAGAGTTGATATCACCAAATCATCTTAACACATCCCATGAAATTTATCTTTTAGAACTATCTTTAACACCTCACTATGGTAAAAAAAATAAAAGACATTAACCATAGTGCCATTGGTTGATTCCTGGCTTCGAGTGGCCAATGAGGTGCGTTTATTGTCGTCTTGTACACGCCTCCTCAGATAGGTGTCGACCAATAGGCGCGTCGCGATTCTCATATGTGGATTTCACGGTAAACTTAAGAAGATAAACAAATTATTTATTTACAACAGTACTGCCTTGTTATTTATGCTTTTACGGGGTGACCAGTTTGGGGAGGTGACCTGGGTACGTGGGTGGAGTTTGGGGAAAGAGAAAGGGAGGGGAGGATTGATGGGAGGGATGTAAGGAGAGTAATAGTGATGGGTCAGGGTAGGAGAAGGGTGGTGGAAGGGATTAGGGGAGGAGCAGAGGAAGGAGGAAGGGAAGTCAGATAGATGAGGAAAGAAGAAAGATGGTTGAAGGTGATAAAGGGGAGGGTTGGGAAAGGAGGAAGGGAAGAACCTAACCTAACCTAACTAGCACCTGACATCCACCGCTGCATTCCATCAGTACTGTACAATATATCCACCAACAACAATAAGAGACCAGAAGATATTACCCGCTGTCTCCAACCTAGTTAGCGATGACCTGGCTAGCTTGACCTTTGACCCATATCCAGGGGGTGGGGAGGAATGGAGGAAGGGAGGGGGAAGGAGACGGGTGTATTGGGAAACTGGAGAGAAAGGAGGAGGGAGGTGGAGAAAGGGAGTGAAGGAAGAGGTGGGAGGAGGAGGAGAAAGAGTAGGGGGAGGAGGAAAAAGTGGAGAGGGAAGAGGAGAAAGTGGAGAGGGAAGAAGATAAAGAGGAGAGGGAGGAGGGGAAGAGGAAGAAGAGAAGAGGGAGAGGAAGAAAAGGAAGAGGAGGAAAGGGAGAAGGAGGTCTTTTCAATACTATTCAATTGAGTCATATTTATCAACATTAACTAGTAGCATGAGTCAATGGCATGAGAGACTTATCATGAGTATGTTTGTGTGAGGTAAGATGAGTCACTGGAAAACTAAGAAGAAAAAAAAAACACTCACAGGTTATTGCGTTTGTGTTGTTGATATTTGTGAGTCGGGTCAGGTAAGATCATTGACGTGTTGCTCTGGGGGGTTGTACTGGTAATGGTCAGCAAATATCCACAAAGAGTCACTGTACCAATTGTATTCCTGGTCTCAGTCAAGAAAATATTAATACTAGTTTTTATGTTATATTCTGAATTAAGACATTGCATAAACATCAAATTTATTACGATACATAACGTTATTATGTTGTGCTATGAATAAAAACATCAAATGAACATCTAAGTTATTATTGTATGTTGTGGTTCAATATTAAAAGCCAATATTTACACCAATAATATACAGATGTTTGTCATTAACTCGTAAACCACAAGAATTACAATTATACCAAAAACCAATTCAATCAAGGAAATACATTTGTTCCATTTGGCACCAGGGAAGAATAATGTAACTTACTCACAGGTTCATTGGAAAGTGTTGAAAAATGGCTTCTTTTTTGATCGGTGCAGATGTTGGTTTCACTAATTAAAGAATACGACCCTTTACATTCACCAAATCTCCTTCACCAGGTTATGTTAGGTCATTCTCTGGCATCTTTACGAGGTCTTAATCTGCTAAGTACCTCGTAAAGTGTTTGAAAGTGTGTAAAGTTAATTTTTCCTCCTTCTCTGTCCCTCACACAACTGTCTAATTAATGTATGTAATTAGACAGGAAAACGCAAGCATAGACAGAGAGAAAGGATACTGTTGAGAAGATGATAAGAGATGGGCGTAGGAAGTGAGGGATAAAGGAGAAGACTAAAAGACTCACTCCTCACACACTCCCTCACAACACACTCCTCACACATTCCCTCATACCTCATTCCTCACACCTTACTTCTCACATACTCCCCTACCTCACTTCTCACACATTCACTTACACCCCACTCCTCACACACTCCCTCATACCTCACTCCTCACACACTCCCTCACTCCTCACACATTCCCTCACACACTCTCTCACACCTCACACACTCCCTCACTCCTCACACACTCCGTCACACCTCACACACTCCCTCACACCTCACACACTCTCTCATATATCTTACTAATACTTCCAGAAGACTTCGTGAGAATGAAACTTGACAGAGATAAACCCTAGGCTTCTGACGTTTGTTTATTTCTCGTACGAAAAAAAATCGTGTCTTACTGATTCCATGGATATGAAATTTAATATACATTGTGTGTATGTGTGTGTGTGGGAGGGGTAGTAGTAGTAGTAGTAGCAGTGGTAGGACTTCAAACACATCTAACGAAGCCCGTGTGGACGTCAGTGCTCGAGGATTCTGGACGCGGGGACAGCAAGCTTTCTTCGACATCAGGATTTTTGATCCCATGGCCGCATGTCACCGTAACTTAGCTCTCGATGCTGCACATAGGAGGAACGAACGACAAGAGAAGGGCATATGGGGAGAGAATTCAAAACGTTGATCAAGGCAGCTTCACCTCTAGTGTTCACAACCTCTGGTGGGATGGGACCAAGTGCAAGATGTTTCTACGCCAGACTCGCGGAGTTGATCTCCGAACAGAAGCAGCAGCCCAGAAGTTATGTTACAGCCTGGATGAGATGTCGACTGTCTTTCTCTCTCCTTCGGTCGGCTTTGCTCTGCCTCAGGGGAACGAGAGCTTCTGCCCCAATCCCGACAACTGCTGTAGATATTGACTATGAGGCTAAAGTCACTGAATGCCGCATAGATCTGCGGCTCAACTAATTCAACACAGATAGGATAGCTACTTATGTATTAGGATATTTAATATTAAGGTAATCAAATGGTGGCGAAGGTGTGGCTATTGGGGGGAGGCTGGAGGCCACGTTTTCAAAAAAAAAAAAAAAGTAGTAGTAGTAGTAATATATGAATTTTAGTCACCATCTGTTTGTCGTAAATAAAGTAAGACAATTAACTTTCCTTTGGTGTCGACAATTATGGGGGAGAATCTTCCAAACTCCAGGACCCACCCTGGGAAGGCCAGCCTCCCTCTCCTATAGTATTTCCTCCACAGTCCTGCGTCGCACTCCTAGCCGGATACTCAATAGGATGTTGCCCAATGGAGAAATGTATCACCGCGGGTAGAAAACAAATGACAAAAAGGAATCTATAACATATTGAGTACTGATTCATGCCAATCATTCTCTCAGTGTAACACGTAAAGTAACATGACAAATATCTACTGTGTAACATGTATAAATTACTACGTCATAACAACTGCAATAAGAAGTCAGGTTACGTAACATATATCTGTCTAGTTCATTATACAGTCCCTCATTGTCTTGTTTATAGTTATTACTCTTATAATGACTGGTGTATTAAAGTGTTTATTGTTTGTTTTACAGGAAGCGACATCATGTGACCTATCCATCACCTCCTAACCCTCTCTTCTACACACAGCACCTAATAACAGTAAGTGTCTTTGTGTTTCCCATACATCCCGTGTTAATAATTCAGTCTTCAGTATCACACTTCGTAGTAATAGTTTCCAAGATGAGGTTTTCTCCGAGTGACCTTCCATAGCGAGTGTGTCTGTTTGGTGATATAGAGTAGGTGGTGGTATTAAATATCTCCAGGTATTCGTTGCGTTTACAGGTGATTATGACCTCAGGTAAGACAGATGAGACTTGGGTTGTTGTCTCTCACTTCAACACCTGTAATAAGACAAGAGGGAATATATCTTGGTTGTTGTCTCTCACTTCAACACCTGTAATAAGACAAGAGGGAATATATCTTGGTTGTTGTCTCTCACTTCAACACCTGTAATAAGACAAGAGGGAATATATCTTGGTTGTTGTCTCTCACTTCAACACCTGTAATAAGACAAGAGGGAATATGTCTTGGTTGTTGTCTCTCACTTCAACACCTGTAATAAGACAAGAGGGAATATGTCTTGGTCGTTGTCTCTCACTTCAACACCTGTAATAAGACAAGAGGGAATATATCTTGGTTGTTGTCTCTCACTTCAACACCTGTAATAAGACAAGAGGGAATATGTCTTGGTCGTTGTCTCTCACTTCAACACCTGTAATAAGACAAGAGGGAATATATCTTGGTTGTTGTCTCTCACTTCAACACCTGTAATAAGACAAGAGGGAATATGTCTTGGTCGTTGTCTCTCACTTCAACACCTGTAATAAGACAAGAGGGAATATGTCTTGTGTGTGTATATTGTCTTCTGTATATGGTAATCGTTTAAGTGTTATTATTTTTCGAGCCATACTTTATTTTGAATTGATTTATTAAGTACTGTTAGAAAAGTATTGATAAGTGTATACGTTTTTACAGTATACTTAGATAAAGACCTAATTATTATCGTGGTTTCGGCCTTACAAATAACCTAACCTAACCTAACCTAACCCAACCTAAGAAATCTTGTCCCGATTATAGTTTGTACTGAAATTACTAAACACCAAGTTCTAATGAAGCGACCGATAGTTGTGGTCTGACTACCTCCGTGTACTAAATAATATTCTACTTTCACCTTAACTCGTTCAGAACCATAGCATTATGTATGATGTTTAGTGGACGTGCAGAGAGAGAGAGAGAAGGAGAAGCAGTGAGAGAGAGAGAGAAAAGAGGAAGCAGAGAGAGAGAGGCTTAAAAATACATAAATGATAATAGTATACAGAAGAACAGACGAAGAAAATGGGATGATGAAACCAAAACAAAACAATAACAAGGAAACAGGAAATACACAATATGACAGCTAAACGTGTCACTAATGAATAAAAGAACGTGTGGGGAAAAAAATAAAGAATCAAGAGAAACCAGGATAATAAAGGATGAAATAGAGAAAACATGACAGGTGAGTGTGCTGGGAGGAGGTGCAGTAGGGGAAAGGTTCGTGTCCTATGCCATGTTCGCATCACCTGGCAATTACCTGTTTGTGTGTTTTTCTCTGGTTGGCTTAATGACCCTCATTTTAGCGAGGGGGAAGAGAGGAATTTCCTGTCTTATCCTGTTATATCCCGTCATGGTGTTAATTAGTCATGATTTTTTTTTTGAGGGGGGGGGGGAGTTTTCATTAATTGGTTTGTGGTCCTGTAGAGAAGATGAAAACAGTATGGTAGACGTTTATCTGTCACCTCCCTAACTTATCCACCAGCTGAAGTGATACAAGGACTGCGTCTCCAAGGGAAGGGGGGAGGAGGGCGGAGTTGTGGAAGGGACGGAGGAGCGAAAGGAAAAGGTTAGAGAACTGAAGAAGGGGTCAGCAAGTAGAAAGGGCAGGGGGAGGGAGGGTCAGGGAGAAGAGACAGGGTGAGGGAAGGTCCAGGGGAGGGAAGGGCTGGGGGAGAGGCAGGGAGGGAGAAGGTCCAGGGAAGAGACAGGGTAAGGGAAGGTCCAAGGAAAAGACGAGAGAGGGGGGCAGGGGAGAAAAAGGTCCAGGGGAAAGGCAGGGGAGAGGGAAGGTCCAGGGAAAAGACGAGAGGGGGGGGACATGGAAGAGGCAGGGGAGAGAAGAGGCAGGGGAATAGAAGACCAAAGGAGAGACAGAGAGAGAAAATGTCCTGGAGAGATACAGAGTGCTGGACTGTGTGTGGGTCAAGAAGGAAGCTTTGAAGTTGCTTATATACCCTGATTCATCATCGTAGAAACAGGTTTAGTCTTTCTCCTTTCGTTGTTGGTGTTCCTGTCGAGGCTGTGCTTATTAGTGTATTGTTAGTAGTGTGTGTGTGTATGTGTGTGTGTGTGTGTGTGTGTGTGTGTGTGTGTGTGTGTGTGTGTGTACTCTGAGGCGCTTGACACAACACGGCCGAGACCCACGACGTAAGAGAGGGTATACAGTTGATGTGTTACTAGACATTGGAGGCGAGTATATGTGTTACTAGATATTTACAGGTTAATATATCTTTCTTTTTTTGGTTTTATTAATTGTTTTTGCTGTGGTATTTACTTCGTTTTTGCTGCTGGTTTGTGATAATGATCCGTTGTACTAGTCTTAGGTATTTTGTTTACATATTACGGTACATAAAATATATAGAATGTTAATGCATAAGATTTATTTATTTTTATCTGACTCAGGCGTCATGGGGTCAGTTCTGTGTGTCTGCTGTGACCTGTGATTTATATTATTTGCTCCTTTAATCTGATAACAGTAATGGCAAAAAATTATCCGATGTATTTCGCCTTTTTCAGTTAATATTGTTTTTATTTTGTTTTGTTATGGTACTTTGTTTCTTTTATGTTACATTCACATTTTCCGGGTCACATATAAGCTTCACGACTGACACGACACAATTTTTGTCTCCTATTAACACACTATTAATGTCCCCTATTACCTATATTTAGTTAACCCCAAAATGTCTCCTATACTTAGTAAACCCCAAAACCTCCTAAACTCATTTAACCCTCCAAAGCAGCCTCGTGCGACTTCTGAACCCCGAATATAACCCCTTAGCAGCGGTTCACTGGTAATGTGATGGAGAGTCGAGGTTAGGTTCGTTACCCACCGAGTACAGTCCCTCAGTTAGTGTAATTTTTATCATGTTTGATTTAATTTCTTTATTTCATCTGTTTACCTGTTTGGATTTTTTTATTAAGCTATTATTTATTTATTTATTTATTTATTTATTTATTTATTTATTTATTAGGTTAGACTAGGTGTTGTTAGGATAGATTGAATTAGGTTAAGTTTGGTTAAAATAAATTAGGCTGGTTAGGTTAGGTTAAATAAGCTGGAATGTCTAATCTTCAGGTGATTCGATGTATCATTATAAAGAACGTTGACGAAGGACGTAATCATTCTCTCCATCACCTCACCTGCACGTCACGACCACCTCTGGCTGTGAGTGACGTTGATAGGTAGCAAAATTATCCCATTACAGGTGAGAAACTTGTAAGAATGGTGCAATTGTGCCTTACGATGGCTTCCTTTGTTGCCAGGAGAGGGTTCATGATCCTTCCCATCTCGTAAATATACCAAGTATGACGTCACGGGTCCTGGGGATATGTGGGGATTACCTGGTGACGTGTGGATACCCTAAATAGTGACACACACACACACACACACACACACACACACACACACACACACACACACACACTGGCTGCATATCAAGTAACTCCGAGGTCTACTCACTCCCTGCTGGGGGTGGGGGTGACGCTGTTAGCAATGAGTTACTCCTACTTCTTCACCTTTATGACCAGGTGAGACTCGTCCTCCCTGGCCCCGGGTCACGAGGTACTGACCCTCTGACCTCCTCCAAGCACTTCTTGTGTAATGGGTCAGTGGTGTGACGTATGTCTTGAGTCATTTTACTCTCTCTCTCTCTCTCTCTCTCTGGCAGACAACACTTAACCGACACCACCGGCACTGGCAGACACTACTGGGAGACGCCTCTTAGATAAAGCCACTGTCTTCCAAGCATCACTAATACCTCCTCCCCGGACTCGCTAATGGGATTACACCTTCCAAAGTACCCAGATCAGAGGGATTATCTCTGTGGACGCGGTCATGAGGGAGGGTTGTGATCAGTGATGGAGGAAAGTGAGGGGGGGTTGTGATCAGTGTTGGAGGAAAGTGAAGTGATGGAGGAAAGTGGGGGGTTGTGATCAGTGATGGAGGAAAGTGAGGAGGGTTGTGATCAGTGATGGAGGAAAGTGAGGAGGGTTGTGATCAGTGATGGAGGAAAGTGAGGGGGGTTAGATCAGTGATGGAGTGATCAGTGAGGAAAGTGAGGGGTTGTGATCAGTGATGGAGGAAAGTGAGGGAGGCTGTGATCAGTGATGGAGGAAAGTGAGGGGGGGTTGTGATCAGTGATGGAGGAAAGTGAGGGAGGGTTGTGATCAGTGATGGAGGAAAGTGAGGGAGGGTTGTGATCAGTGATGGAGGAAAGTGAGGGAGAGTTTAACAACCATCACCAAGTCCTTCCCACCCCACCCGTTCCTCCTTCACCCTACGCCTCCCTTTCCACCCCCTAATCCCCTCCTCCACACCCCCACGTCCCTCCCCCACACCCCCACGTCCCTCCTCCACACCCACATCTCCCTCCACCCCACCTCTTCACCCACACTCCCTCTCCATCTCCCCCACACTCTACGTCTAACCTAAAACAAACTTTAAGTATGATAATTGAAAACATAAATAAACGGAGATGCTTGAATATATAAAAATGGGAGGAGACTAGAATGAACGGTGATTAATTATCGATAAGTGAAAGGTGTTTTGCCAGGTGATTTTATCTTAATAACTGGTGTGTCATTCTCGAGGTAATAAAATCATCATTCTTAATTGATCTGTTCTTCTCTAAGTAAAAATAACGTGTTTTAATAACTGGTTTATCATTCTCTAAGTAGGTAAAGCGTGCCTCTTAATAGCTATTCCGTCATTCTCAAAGTACTAAGAATGTCTGTCGTTGGTCTTAAGTCCTTCGTTTAAGACTTGATGAACGGATCTTAAGGAATCA